CATTAACTATCCTGTTAATAGATTTCCACCCAGGACAACGTTGGGTGGGTTGCGCCGAGTTTCGAATCAGGTGCAATCGTATTCAAACGGGTTTCTGGCCCTTCCTAGTACCTTGGGTCAGTCAAAGTACGGAGTGTCCAAGGGTCCGCCCGTTTTGGCGGCTTGGACTTGGCGGGCTTTGGTGGGGCTGAGCGGGGGCGGCTATTTAGGCTCTCCCCTCGGTCCCCCTCCTATCTTGTTTCGCACCCAGCCCTCCCGCCCTAGAGAGTGGAGTTCGGTTGAGTTGAGGGAGACAACGGGAAGGAGTGGATGACAGAACGGGGAAGGGGTGACTCAGGGTTGCTGTCACGGGAGAAACGTGAAGTAAAGTAAGGGCGAAGCGAAAGGGCAAACTGTTAAGTACGGGGACCTCGGGTATGTGGAGTTGTTGGTGATGGACACCTTTGTTGTAATGTGTTGTCGTGTGGGGAACATGACCGGGTGGGTTCAGGAGACCGGTCAGGTGGAAACAACTCTTGTTGTGGGCGACGGCGGATCGGGCGGCGATTCGGTGGCGGCCGGTCGTGCGGGGAATCTCCGTAGTGGGCTGGCGATGGCGGGCTGCGGCGGGGCTGCATGGCGACTTTTAGCATGGCGGATCAGTGGCAGCGGGCTGGCGATTGGGGCAGGTCAGCCTGTGGCTGGACCGGCTTGGCAAGCGACGAGCGGCGCTGGGGTTCACTGTTTGGCGGGGATGGCTGTTTTTATTTTTTCCATTTTTTTTCTTTCTTTATTGTGGGCTCCCACCTCCGGAGGTCGGGGGACTTTGATGGGCCCTGAGTGCGTGTTTTTTGCTCTCTCTGCAGTGCTCATGTTGTGGTGACGCCATATCATCTTTTAGCCATATGGAAAAGTGTCCCACACACTTGCTGAGGATGGGTGGCCTATCTTGTTTCTCTTTTTTTTTGTAACGAATCTCTTCCCCCCGCCCTCCTCTTCAACGTCAAATTGACGCTAAACATACCAATTTCGACATAGTGTCTTCCCTATCCGGGTGGCGATCTCACTGACCGGCGCAGCCATTGAATATCGCCTCTTGGCGGCAACCCATCAATAGCTGGGATCAAAAAGACAACTAATTCCATGGAAACCATCCACATAATGTGTTCCGGAATCTTATATAAGACTTCTATTGTATTGATATTCTATATTCTAATTAATTAGAATGCGAATCAAGAGGGCAGATGATCGAAGAGTTGATGTGGAAAGTGATCTCCCCATACAATTTCGCGAGGTGAGGTGGGGAGCTTATCAAGAAGCAACGGAGCAAGGGGATCAATCAATTCAAATTCACCGCGCCACAAATTCAAGAGGCGTCCCCGTCCGCTGGCACATGGGATTCCAATCGCAGTTCGAAGATTCTAGTGATGGTTCCTGGAAGGATTGGCCCCGGGAGGCGAACGGCACGACCGCTCTTTGCGCAGATTTCATTCCACTTCTCGTTAACAGGGAGATTTCCACAAATCCGTTTTTCATTTCTTTGCAGGTCCACATGATACATGTCAAGTTGCCTCCCGGTGACCGACTTCCATTCTGAATGACATAGTTTGGAACAATGGATAGAGCAACACTGGGCAACCACAGCGACTTGGCAATAGCTTCTGGTCTCGATTTGAATACCTGTTAATGAAGCACAATGTCTGGATGAAACTCCCGGGGAATGACTTTGATTTTCTTTATGGTTGATGACATTTTGTGATTACTTACTTTGAATTGAATTTGAAGGCAAGGGGTGAAGGTAGATTGATTATACTGATAATTCTGGATTTGTATGTTCTGATGCATAGCAACTCAGCGGCTGGATTGTGGCGATGACTTTTGCTATCGTTTAACGTAATACCTTCATGACATTCCAATGGGTTCTGCATTGCTAGGCGCAAGAGGGAGCTGAAAGGCCTCCTCCTCTCTTTGATGAGTAAGATTCTTGGTGACGATAGCATTCCGAGTTTCCATACCATAATTGCTTCATGCAGGTCATTCAAGCCATTTTGATACTCGACATTGTAATCTCGCCGCAAGGGATGGTCCAGCTATGCCCCCAGGGCACCCGCGGAAAGTAAGCGCCAATGCAACGAGAAAGCGTTACAGGGCATTTGAAAGGTGCATAAGGTCACGCCAAGCACTCGCAGAAGAGCTGCATCGCTTGATGGAAAGTTAGAAGAGTCACATATCGATTTTGGTACACTCAACGTCAAATTCCCCTGCGGGGAAAATGGAAAAGGAAGAGAAGGGGGGGGAGGGGGGGAACATCACTGCCATCGGTCACCGATGATCGATGCATTGCAAAGTGCCCACATTTCGGCGTCATCGGATGAAAATGTCCCTGATTCCCCAGTCTCCACAAATTTAAGTAAATCGGCCGTTATCAAGTGGAACTCTTGAGAAAAGACAAAATAGTCCAGAAGCATTGGCTAAGACTCCTAGCTCTCGATCCTGTTCACGGTCTTTCTCTTCAACGTCCTAGCAGTGGCCAACGCTGTAGTAAAAATCTAAAACAGATTCACTGATGAACACCTGATGGCATGGCTCACAAGTCAAGACAAGGTTCGCATGTTGCAGCGCTGCCAGCATGCTAGCATGGCGTACCTGAATTTTTTGTTGCTATTCAAAACCGTTTATGGAACTTCATGCTGAAGATCCTAGCGCCAATTCCTATGCTGGTCTTTGCGCTTGCTTTTAGTCGCCATTGCTATGGCAACCGCTGCAAAAGAAGGAGTCGGGTCCACCGCACAAAATTGTGACTGCAAGGATCAATTCACTGCGACGTTCGGGTGTCATTGCAAGGTGTGCAAAGTTGGATTTTGCCAGTGTCTAGGCCCACTGTTCCTCCTTGAGCCCAATCTTGTTCTTGCACTTGCTTTTGGTCGTTTCAACGGTGTTGGTCACAGGAAAATCACGGAAAAGAGTTTCAATTGCAAGCATTCGACTTTCAGGGTCACCGGTCACTGAATTCCATGCATCACCGCAAAGTGTCCATAATCAGTTCCTAGCTGTGCCTTACAGTTCTTGCTCAAACTCCTCTCGCCATATGCTTTCTTGGATGCACGCAGGTGTGGGAGCATTATATGTATGCCCATTTTTCCTCACGTGGACAATGCAAATATTAATGTCTGACCCAAGCAAAACCACTTGTGGTCTTTGGCTGACTAGATGGAGAAGACGCGGTGAAAGGCCTGCGAATGAATATGCTGCGAGGCATCACTGCCGTCTAATAGGCACGGGGTTCAAACTTGTGCAGCCTGGGAGAGGGAAATTGTGAATGTAAGCCACGTACTGCCCACATTGCCCAAGAATCAACGGCCCTGCTTCATATTCAGCTTCCGACCTTTGCTGCTGGCGTGCATCAGAGAACGTACACGGCGCCGAGAGTCCTAGCCAGAGACTCCAGTCGCAGACAAGAATTGGCTATGGACACCATGATGTGACACGTTAAACTTGCAGCGACTTGTGGATTTTGCGATCGCCTACAAACCTTCCAGTTGAGTGATTTGCCAGTAAACCTGCTTGCTCTTCTTTTTGCAGCGGCTGCCACAGACATGACTACCAATGAAAAGAACATGAGCAAGAGTAAAAGTGGGATCGGGAGCCAGATGTCTAACGCAGAGGCTGTGGGCGCTGATAGATCAAATTCTGCGCACCTTATCATCACACCACGGTCGTGCAGCTCAAAATGCACTGTATGTACCCTTTACTCTTTTTGCTATCATGGGGCACCAAATTCTAGACGCACTGACATTCAGACAACCTGATAGCCCGAACATTGTCGCTTTACAGCAATGGTGGCTTAGTCGCGCCATCCCATGCAGTGCACACATCGTATACAGCAGGTACTTGTCGTTAGCGCAACACACATGTGATCCTGCTAGTGAAAATGCTGCGCACTATTTGGTGTGGCGAACAAGATCCTTCTGCCTGGTAGCGCTGGGAATTGTGCGATCACGTCCATCGCACTGCCCCTTAAGTTCAAATGGCAATCACAATCTGTGGCGGCGCGCGCGCCTGGTGTGGACACATAAGATGACCACAACATAGCCTGCAACCTGACAAACGATTTCATGCCAGTCGGGAAACAGTGATGCGACACACAATGCAACACACAACAACTGCCCTGCTTGTCCATTGGCCGCCATACATCAGCCCATAGCTCCTATTATCGGAACTCAGTACAGCAGAGCAATTCTGCAACAACATGCTGCATCTTTTCTATTCGCATCCATGTCTCTGTGCTCATCGTTTGGTCTCGGTTTATGCATTCTCGTACAGCTTTCCTCTTCCCGCAGACACCCGCATCTGGCCCCCTGGAAGGTTGTGAGCGAATATGAACCCATTTACTACTGTCTATTGTACATGCGACGTGCACCATTGCGCCGCATCAGGAGGGCATCGCCGTTTCCGTGATGACTCAATTTCCCCTCGAACAGATGGTGTGCCTCCACGTCTAGCATGGCGCCCTCGTCACCCGCCTGAAACCATTTATTACACCGACATGGCCACGAGAATTATCCGCGGAATTAAAATGTTCCCCAATCAGTGAGCTTCCCAGCCACCCTGCAGCCCGGACAAATGAGCAAACTTCTGTTCAGGTTCTGGCTCCTCAGCGTGCGCGTAGTCGGTCCCGAGGTGATGTCCGGTGGGGCCACAAAGAGGCGACTCTGAAACGCAAGGCGCAACGCCGTGGAGATTGCTCAAGAGGAGGGGAGGGCCCTCAGAACTGCAGGAATTCACATTCGACACGTCCATCGTGTACCCCATGGCCTGCTGAATGGCGCGCAGCTCAATTTCATCGGCACCATGGGACGAGAGACTCAGTTCTGCTTGTTGGAGTGGACTGGAGCCTTCCCTCCTCCGCTTCGGCGTCGAAGAGTCACCCGGATGCCATAGAGAGGTTGACGATTTCGACAGGGTTGAGTTGTACTCCGCCAGCTGAGCGCTGGCAATAGCCTTTGTATCCACAGGGGCAGCCCATTCGCCTGTGCGTTTCAGTGTTGGGCTATGTGCCTGGTCTCCAGACTGAGTTCCCAGGCTGCCCTTCGTATCTGCAAGCAAGTTCAGGCTTGATACACCAGGTGCCGTGGGGAGGCTTGACCTAAAGGCATCATATCCACCTGAACCTGTCGAAAAGAGCTCGCTGTGGCTCCCATTCACGACGCTGCTCCCTGCGCTGGAGAGGAGGTGGGGCGGTTCTTCGAGTGACGAGAGCTGATTGCAGCCCACTGGAAGATGCAAATTATGTTCGCCCCCAAATGACTTAGCACTCCCAAGCCCATTGCGGGGCAATACTCCCGGCCTCAAATGGGCTGGACGCAAATCCGCAGTGCTGCTGTCAGGTATCAAAGCCACATTGTGGTCATCTGCTGCCCCCTGCATCCCTTCTGGCATGGAACTACCTGGGCTGGATCCGCTGTGCGTTGCATTTTGGTTTGATGGACTGTCTGGCCAGTCTTGGTGGGCCTCCAGCCCTGCTGCAAAACTCAGTCGATTCCTGCTTTGGCCACTCACGATGTCTTCACTCAGCACCCTTTCTGTTGAGGCTCGCATCCCTCTGCTCAAAGGCACAGCGTGGGCAGGGGGGCTTCCAGCAGCCAGCAACGACTCTGGATTTTGCACTGCAAACAGAAATCCTGAGCTGCCTTCGCATTTCTGCAGTTCAGAAGTCATGTGCGCAGTGTTAGCAGAAGGGGAGTTTTGACTGCCCTCGCCAGGATCTTCACCTGCACTTCCAGAGCTTCGACTGGGGCTCTTGACTGGATACGGGGGCAGCGTTGCCTCCTGAACCTCTCCAGTCTGCACCCCAATGCCATCCTCAGACGCAGGGGATGATGATGAATCCTGCCTGACCATATGACTCAGTGCCGAGTACATCGACACCCCACTTGTCTCTGACCACTGTCTGATCATACGGCTATGGACTGATGAAATGGAGGGCTCGCCTTCTGATGGATCTTCAGCAACGTTAATGTTGACTGGGTATGAACGCATGTGTGCAGTGCAATTCTCTGCATGTGCTCCTGAACCACCTGTCACACCTTCACTGCAGGATGACAGCGAACTGTCTGAAGCGTAGCCAGAAACATACGCATCCATGGGATGTTGTGCACATGATGTCCCCTTCCCTGGGCTGCTAACAACAGAGCCACACACAATATTGTCCTTCTGCACTGACATTGAGTGCAGCCCAGCAATGAGTTCTTCATGTTGAGGACCCTCAGGAATTGCTGCATCATGTCTGTGAGGGCTTGGTATGTCTGATCCCACTGTGATGGTGCTTTCCTTTGCCACTGTTGTGTGGTGACTCTGTACTGCTGTTCTAAGTCGAGTGAAGAAATCCTCAACAGCAGGAAACGGAGGAGGGCTGTCGTCAGCATCTATGGCACCCTCACCAGCACGGTCCTCAACAGTCCAACCCCTCTGGCTTGGGCTTCCCATGAATTCAGATCCTTCTGAGGCCAGCCAAGAAGCCACAGACATGCTCCCTGCTCCTGAACGCGTGCTGTGTGTCTGCTGTGACCCATATCGCGGTCCTTCTTGAATGGACGATCCAGCAAAGGAAATGCCTGCCTGATAAGGTTGCACATCGTCATCCTCGATTGCTGCGCCTGCACAGATGGGATTTTGATGGCCTTGGAGCACTTCATCAAAATCGGCACTGCTGGAAGTTTGGGCTGGCATGATCTCACAAACCACCGCTTGGTGGCTATCGCCACGTCCTGAATTGTATCCTGAACCATACTCTGACATGTGGGAAGGCTTGAATTTAAGGTAATCTGACACCACGGGTGAGTCATCATGCCCACTCATGATTCTTGGACTAACTTTCACCTGTGCTGCTGTCACGCTCCGTCTTGCCTTCACTGCTATGGGCACTCTGCCATCTCTCAAATTTGTTGCTCCCTCTCTTCCAGGAAACGGTGGAGGCAAGCCCTTCTCTGCCCAGTATTCTGTACTGCCGCCACCCCTCATAGAGATCACCTCATTCAGATAGCCAGGTAAATGTGGCGGTGCCCCCCACTCTTCATCCGACATGTCTGAAATGTCGCCAGCATCCTTTGCAGGCACATCGTCGCTTTCTGGGTGCTCTTCACGATTGTGACGCTTTCGCACGAAGAAGAGTACCAGCAGTGCTGGAACAAGAACAACAGGAAGCAGCACTGCTGGTATCAGCCACTGTGCAGTGGCCACAGAGCTGTCTGACCCTTCTGACTGCTCTAGACTGTCTGCAGTTCGGCTGACAGCATTGATAGCACTGGGCTGTGCTCCTCTGGATGTCATGGTTGTGTTCTTGGACTTCCCATCACCCCCTGTTGCTGAGGTGGAGCGTTTGCCAGCGTTTTGGAGCAGAGCAACAACATCCACGTTCTCATTAACAATAGCCACCAACAAGGGCGTCTGCCCAATGGCATCAGTGAGGTTGACATCAGCCCCCATGTCCAGGAGAAGCTGAACTATTCGGGTGTTGCCAATGGCCGCAGCAGTATGCAGTGGTGTAGTCCCGAGAGCGTCTTGAAGGTTTGCATTGGGACCAAACGGGAACAGAGTCTCAACCATCACTGCATCATCATTCCGAACAGCTACATGCAGGGCACTTGTATTATCGTTGGTCACCACATTGATGTCTGCACCAGCTTCAAGAAGAGCCACAACAATGCCAACAGAGCTGTTGTCCACTGCAACGTGGAGAGGGCCACATCCTGTGGCATCCTTCACGTTGCTGTCTGCACCACCATTCAGCAGCGCATCCACAACCCGCACACTGCCTCCTCCCACCGCCAGCTGCAGCAAGGTGCTCCCATTCCTGGCCATGCCATTGACATCTTCCCCTGCCTCAATCAATCTCTCTGCCTCTGTATGGTTACCATCTCGAACAGCAATCAACAGCGGCATCAGTGTCTCTTCTATGGCCATCGCTTTCACATTCTCATCTGGATCTGCCAAACAAACCAAATCTCTGGGCTGGTGTCCATTCTTATTCTTTATCCCTCGAGCAGACCCAGCCTCAACAAGGAGCTCCACAATCTTGTGGAAACAACCTGCCGACGCTGCATGGAGTGGACAGGACCCGTCCTCCCTCAATCTCCCCAGATCTGGTTTGAAGACAAGCAGCGCTTCTACTGAAGCTGGTTGACCAGAATATGCTGCTGCATACAAAGGAGTGGATCCTTCAACGTCCGCCACATCTATCATCTCGTTTCCATCACCTTCCAGAAGGGTCCACACCGTCTTTGGGTGTCCATTTGCAGCCGCTAGAAACAGAGCCGACTGTTTGAGAGCTGTTGTCTGGACTCGGAAGTCAGCACCTGCGCTCAAAAGGATTGCCACGACATCTGTGTGGCCTCGAGATGCAGCTACCATAAGGGCCGATGAACCCCATACTGAGTTGATATTGACATCAGCGCCAGAATCTATCAGAATCTGGACAATGTCCACGTGTGCATTTTGTGCTGCAACGTACAGGGCAGTGGTCCCCTTGGAATTGCCTGCATTCACGTCCATTCCAGAAGCAATGAGGATTTTCACGATGGCCGACTCGTTTCGAAAGGCGGCCCTCCAGATTGCAGGGGTTCCAAAAAGTTCATAGCGCGAATCCGGTCCCCTTTGCTCAAGGAGAGTCTGAACACGCTCCACATCGCCAGCTTGAATGGCTAGATGAAGGTTTAGAGCTTGTGGATCAACATCAGCATTTGGTTCCGTGCTGGCGGGCTGCACAGAAAAACATACACCAAGAGCGATCAGAATGTTCGGCAGGCTGTCTATGCCGGCAATACACGCCGTGCGAGTGTAACACATGTTCACTGGATCATACGAACATGGAAAAACAGCATTGGATTCAGTAGCTGAGATATGTTGAAAATTTAAGCTTACCTGTGGGGTGAACAGGAACATTTTACAGAACACGTCTGACAACATGTGCACCAATCTTTCGTTACAGAATTGCTCCTGTGGTTTATGCCAAAATCCATGCTATCTTGCCGAACGACTAGGCAAGATTTCGACCCTTCCCAAGATAAACAAGTGGCGCTTAACGAAAATATGCAGGAGTTCATCGTGGCCATGAGAGAGACACGCCCCAATATTGGTTTGTCGTGCTGGTATTCACACAGCGATTATGTGGCGTACGTACCCGCTCTCCTGGCTTGGAGTGCACGTCCAGCCCCAATAGACCAAGCTGGCAGTGGCAGGGGAAATGTGTATTCAACGATGTTGGCAAGGCCAGCAAATTCAAGTTGCCCTGCGCTACTGTCTAGGGTGAGCACAAGGCTCACGTGGTAGCAGGCGATGCCCCCCGGAAAATAACTCACCGGCGGTCCTCCCGGCGAAACGTCCGCTGCCTGCAGAAGTTTTCTTCGACCAGGAGCCGCCCAGGACGCCACCTGGCCCCCATGTCGCGCCAAAATCTTCACAGCCGTCGGGCCTTTATGGACACAATTTCAAGCACATGAGCGACAGCCCACTGGCTGCTTAAAGCCCGCCCCCTATTACCCTCGGACGACAGACGCGCCACGCTGGACGAGGTCTGGAACAAGACCCTTTTTGTTGGGGTCGGCGGTGGGGCGGGGAGATACTCCCCAAAGCAGCCCATCCGCACCCAGCCGCTGGCGTTTCAAGCAGGTTTTCAACGTCGAACAAACGCATGCTGCTCATTCCCTGGATGGGCCTTGAGCGTCCAACGATTTTCGTCTGCCCCTGACCCGCTCGCGGCGAATCGAAGAGGAAAGGCACCGGGGGAGCGTTCCCAAGCCGCGCGCCTACGATGTACGATGCGGCCGCCTCGGCAACGCCGACAGGCGAGCGAGGCCGCGAGCACCACCACGGCGCAAATCCGCGCGCCCGCGCCATGACCACGCATGCATGGATTCGAATGCTCCCAGGGATCCCAAATTCCCCATGCGCGCTCGCATGTGCACGCCTCGCGGCGCCCATGATGTCCCAGGCCTGGGGAGTCGGGAACCCTCCTCCGCCGGACCCGCCCATCGCCAAGGGCGACGCGAGGCCTCCAACCAGGCGGACGCCCTCCATCCCCTTCGGCTCCGACAAGCTCACCGCTGCTCGCAGGCTGAAATTTCCGTTCCAGCGCGCAGCGCTACACTCCCCCGCAGCGGGAGGCGCATGGAGACGCAGCAGGGGCGCATGACCCGCACGCCCTCGGGGTGGGAGTTCCCTCGTTCGTGCCGACTTGTGCTTCGTGGATTCGGCAAAACCTGTGCTCCCCGAAAACCGCCCAGCGATGGCGGTATCATGTTCACGCACGGCCGCAGGGCCGCGAAAATTAGTCTGCCGCGCGAGTCACCTGGTTGGAACGTGGTGCCCGCGGCTCCCCAGACATTGACGCTGATGCACAGCGCCAGCGCCGAGCCAAGCAAGGCGGCCTTCATCTAATCCCCTTCCAGATTCGGTGGTCACGACCGGAGGCATCCGGGGCGGCCCTCCGGGGGCTCAATCCCCGCGGCGATGGACGCAGTTCATGGCCTCCGGTGTTCTTCGGGGCTGGGGGCCGGAGTGTACGCGCTTGTCCTGCACAGGCACGGTGAAGAGACGGATGATGGCCGACGCTTGGGGCATTACCATCCCACAGTACTTCGTAGTTTCGCGCTGGCGTTCTGTCATAGTTATGGGGGTGCGCCCCCTGAGTCTGGAGCTGCGTGAAACTCACCCTGCATGCCGTGATGGTGTGCGCCTCGGTCATTGCGCCGCGGAGAGGCCCAAGCATTGGACACAGACCATGTACTTGAGAACCTCTCTGCTCCTTTTACCTTTGTGCACGGGCAGTGGGATTCCCCCGGAAGGCCCCACGGCCAACGTGAGGCCCATCTCAGTACACGAACAACGGGACCCCTCAATTTTTGCCTCGCACCTGTCTAACCCTCGTCATCGATGACACCACGAGGATATCCTAACTGCCCCTCTGACGCGATCACACTGTGAGGATGACATCACGGCATGATGAGAAGGGAAGAAGGCAACGTTGTTTAACCCTTGGGTTTAGTTTTGCAGGGGGTGCAATTAGAGAGATTGCAGCGTTCATCGTTAACTTTGGGGAGTCCTTGGTGGAGGTTGGGGTGTGGGGATTGACGACTGACGCCATGGCAAGCGGCTCCAGCTATTTGAAGGCGCCCAGACAAATTAGGCGCTCTGCGTTCAATGAGCAGCAAAATCGTTATAGTGCAGTTTGACGTTAAAACGACAATTTGACATCATAATCCCCTCTTCAGCATGCATGCCAATGTCGGGGGCCACACTATTTTCCGTATTTGAATGTGAACCTGTGGACCTCGACGTTGTGCTCTGTTGTCGGCGGGTCTCCTAAGTAATCGGAAATGGTGGCTCAGGCAATAAATGACACCCGCAGATAAGGGAAGTCGCTATTTCAACGTGGGCAAATAGTAGACGCACGGTAAGCAACAGTTAAGAACGCCAACCCTGGGAGGGGGAGGCCCTGACGATCGTTGAGAAGAATGCTGTCCTTCGGGCGGCTCAAATTCGCGGTGCTGCAAAATCCGCAGCGAAATTCAGCATGTCCGTGAGGCCAAGCAAAACGAGGGCACTGTGACGCCCAACTCCAGTCAGTCAAGCCCAACAGAAGCCTGCCTGGGGGCAAGAACTCCTTCAGAGCCTGCGGCATGCTCAGAACATGGCGGATAAGCCGTCGAACCGGTCGGGATGCAGAGTTTTCGCTTGTGCAATTGACTCCCATAGTCCGCACACAAGACAATGCCACAGGGAATCCCTTCCTAATTGCAATCGAATTTGACCACTGTCCGTTGGACCAACGCCCCTAAACCAAGGCACATGTTTCGCAAATATTTGTATGCGTGCAAACATCTGTCCAAACCCCACGGCGGGTGACCCGACTTCCAGCAATTCAGGCGAGTTGGTGAAAGATTAGGCCTCCTCACAACATGGTTCGGGCTGTTTCAAATCCTTGGCTTGTGCAGATGCGTCGACATTATTCGAGCCTTTCTATCCCTTTTCTATTTTCACCAGAAATGCCCCACCAAGTGTGTCTCAGCTCATGTTTACCAATTGCTACATCATTCGCACCTTAGCCCGCAGCCCCAACGATCATCTTCCTTTATTGATTACTAATTTCTCTAGGTGCACCTTCACAAACGTCCTGCATCGACGACCATGCTTCCTGCAGCCGCCGTCAATCAATCAATGACAGGGTTGGTTTTTACGCCGTAAAAGCTGATTGTATTTACGTTTTTACGTGCAAAACCGTTTTTACGTTTTTACGCGTAAAAATGCGTAAAAATACGTAAATACAACGTAAAAACTGCCCGGTGTACATAAAGGCAGTACATACAGACTTACGGAGTCCGGCAAGTGGCAGCCAGACGCCCTGGAAGGGGCAGAAGACGACTTTTTGTTGAACACCATCATGATGGTGTGGCGATGATCATCGCCATTGCCGAGGGCGAGGTGGACACTGTGTTGTGGGTGCTGGATATGGCAGAAGACTGACCATTGTACGCAACTTTCATCATGTAATCTGGGCGTCCCAGGGAGCCGTAAAAACGTAAAAATAGGCCCTTTTGCAAATTTACGTTTTACGCGTAAAAACGCAAAGGTAAAAACGTAAACGTAAACGTAAAAACCAAGCCTGATCAATGAGTTATCCACTTACTTTGCTAGCCGACCCCTTTCAACCGACTTTAGGAACAACGTTGCGGGGGCTTGAGGGCCATAGGCTTCCAGGCGCTTCATTCAAGTCACATGGAACGATGCAGCTTCTTGGCCGCATGCGTCGAGCATGGAGTCTGCCGTATCTGAGTGACATCGCCGAATTGGCGATGATGCATGTTGTCGATATGTCCACGTGGTCAAGTACTGAGGGTCCTTTGCAGCCCTAGTTCATGCACAACTCAACGATCGTGCAGCTATCGCTGCTTCTAGAAGCTGCTTCTAGAAGCATTTTGAACAGATCCGTTCAAAATCAGTTCCATGTACTTTTCAGTTGACTTGCCTTTTGTCGTCGTGTGGAACCAGATTCTCGACGCATTCATAATCAGATAAATTGGTGACGCTAACACACCTTAAGTAATTCAGCAACTTTACAATATACATCAGAACAAATTGACTCCAGGAAAGGGGTGCCTATGGACGCGAACATAGTCACAAAATTGACGCAATTCGACGTCAGCAACAAGACGGGCATACCGCCCCTAGCTTGTTGAAAGCATCCCTATAGCATTAAACTAAGGCAGGCCCCAAATGCCTCAATTGACGGCGTCCAGGGATGGTGCAACATGCATGCCCACGCATGCGTGGCGTGTTGTGCATCTCCCTGAGCATGGGCATCCCGCGCACTTCGCGGACGGACTTGGAGAACGCCCTCATGCCTCGTCGGGCCCAAAACATGAAGAACGTGCTGTGCAGGCATTTGACGAGTCGCGTGCTGAGCATGGCGTGCGCCAGCCGTGACACTGCAACATGCTGCAATGACCCGTGGCGGAGGTCGCGGTGGGGCAAATTCGAGAGTTGTCTGAGTGCCTGAGTGACACATCAGCGATCGAGGGCGCCTGGCGTTAGGCGAAGGCAAGAAACCTGTGCAAGTCTGCGTTCGTGTTGGGGGCGGGTTGTGTAAAGATACATGAAGCGACAATGCGCATCATTGGCCCTACACGTATTCTGTTGTCCCGCCTCTGGTCCATTTCGAAGAGCATCAAGCCAATCTGTAGCCAATCTTTGGCATGTCGCAGCAGAGCATTAGCTGCTTGTGGTATGAGGCATGGAACGCGCAGGGAGTCCTTTTGCGAATCTTGGGCTTATGGATTGTGGCGCAAGGAGCCCGGGGACCGGGGGCCCGAGGGGGTGGGGGTGGGGGTGGGGCCCCACCGGAGGGAGAGGGGAGGCTGTGACGCGCCAAACCGACTAACCGAGCGGGCTTATGTACCCGCCGGGTGCAGCGGGCCCGGGATGACCTCAATGCCGTGGCGCCGCATTGAAGGCCGGATGTAAGGACGGAGCGGGCGCCGGCGGGATGATGTTGGGGGCGGGCGGCGGTCAGGCGGGCCGGGGCCGCCGTTTGGGGCGGGGCAATGTACTGGGGGCGCGGGTCAAGGGAAGGCGCGCGCGGTCTGGCTGTGAGGATATGTACGGAAGGGGTATGTCACAGCCTCTCCCTGAAGTGGCCCCCCACCCCACCCCCTCGGGCCCCCGGGCCCACAGCTCCTTGCGCCACAGCCATAAGCCCAAGATTCGCAAAAGGACTGCCCTGTGCGCTTCCCTCTGCGTTGTTATGTGCTGAAATGTGTCGTCACGCATTCAAGTACTATTGCTGAGTACAGACGGCATCGACATAAAGATTGACGCTGAAGGAGAAGGTAGGGATTGGGGTGGTTTGGGGGCCTGAGCTTAGCGTCAACCTGCCGGCAAACGTTACAAGAGCAATACAGGGTCACCCCAAATGCCAGCAAGGACCGCCGCCATGACCGCACTGCATGTGTTCCTATGCCAGAATGTGCATGAAAGCAAATGCAGCTACTCCTTGCGGTCCACCAGCACCGCTCTCTGGCCATGCCTCTGACGCCAACGAAGCACCGACCGCTGAAGGCATCCACACCACTAGCAGCGCATCGATGTATTGTGCTTATGCGTCAAACTCTGAGAAACCTGCTGTGGAGGTTCCCCTTGGAGCACCACCTATTGCAATCTGCTTGGCCCCCAAGCACACAGATCCACAAGGCTGTGCCCTGCTCTGAAGGTGGGGATAAAAGCAAGGGCCCTCGCCTCGTCGTGCTTGGGTGTGTAAATCTCATCGAATGGGATTTGCGTCAATGCCCCATATGGGATTGAGCTGTGGCGATTCCGCAGCGGGCTTCTTCCAGATGGGAACCGGATTGAGTTGCGCTCGGGGCGCTCCGAGCGGTCTCTGCTGGCTAGTCACCACAACCCTAGATTGGTCACTACCTTTGTCCTAGGAGAGCTCGTCACCTCTGAGGAACCCGCGTTCCCAACTACGGGATGTGCCAATGTCGCAGGTACACTGCCTTCAAACATAGTCTTGCCATGCAAGGAAGCCACCATAGAAGCAGCATCATTCTGCCTTGATAGACAATAGCTGTACGCTCTGCCATAACAAGCGCTGAAGATGATGTTCACGGTTGTGTGCAGAAAGCTCTGTGCCTTGAAGAACACAGAATGCGTTTTTGCAAAGGCAATGCAACATGCAGATTCGTGCATTGACGGACACTATTCTCATAGGATCCAGCCAGCACATAAGCTGAATCGTTGACCTTTACAGCCCCACCATCACAGCCCATTGTACAGCCTTCTGCTTTCAGTCGCAGCCTTTGGAGACCGTTGTCCGCAATGTTCTCTTGCTGGTATGATGCTACCTCACTGGAAGGATTAACAAAGGTTGCAAATGGTGATGGCATTACAGCAAGACCTTGGCCACCAATATCCTTGTTAGCATTGTCCTGCACTAACATGCTGCTAACAACAGGAGGCCCTGGGTCAAAGTTGGCCCGTCTTGAAATCTGTGCACTGAGTGGGACGCCAGGCATGGCTACAAAGGGAGAAGCAGTCTGGCCCACACATCCAGCATCCTGCCCTGCAGGTTTCACTCCATGGCTATCATCGCTGTGATCGGATCCAGCCGAGCATGGCCCTGGAGCATCTACCGCTGAGGCATGTGAGCCATGGGCATTTTTTCCCTCATCTGCTGGTGTATCGAACGGCATGATAGGCCATGCTGCAAAAGGGGACAGTGGCACGCCATCTGGGTTCAACCCAGCACTGCCATCATTGGAGCTACCTTTGTGGCATGGATCTTCTTCGACAGCGATCACCAGCGATCTCCTTGCCACAACTCCCCGTGGGTCAAGGGATGATGCAGCCCTGCCTGCACATACCACCCGCTTCCCTTCTTCCACTTCAACCCAGTCCTGGGGGTTGCATTTCTCATCTGCTTTGTTGTGTTGGAGATGGGCTTCAGAACACTTCAATTCATCCCGTAAGCCACTCGATTTCCCTGCTACAGGTTCCATCCCCAGCTTGGTCCCTGGCCTGCCAAGGCTGTTCTCATCATCGGCAACGGAGCCCTTTGCTTCCCCACCACGAGGCGGCGATTCTGGCTCATCAACTGTGGGCTGTACATTCCTAGTCTGTCCAACAGCCACCGCTGTGCGCAGTTCACCGGGAGGGGCAGTGACGCCCCTGCTGTAGTGAAGGTCCAGCTCTGCCAAGATTTCATGAAAAGTGGGCCTGTCTGAAGGCTCCCAAGCACAACATCTCTGGAACATATTGATTAGAAATGGGTCACCAGCTGTGGGTACAGGAAGTGACCTGTTGTTGAAACCAACTGCAGCCACAACCTGCACAGTAAACACAGACGGCAAGCATTCTTTACCAATCAACTGCAATGGCCAGTGGTCCTCGATCAACCTTTCGAATCAACCAAGCGCGTCCACCCCGACGATGCTATTTCCAGAGTAAATCTATGGACAACTGTCCATTCACAGCTCTGAGAGGAACCATGTACTAGGACGATGAGTACTGAAGAGCAACCAACAGCGAAACTCTTAAGGCAGCGAGACTCAAGAACAAGGCAAACAGTTGGATTTACAGTCTCAGCCTCTTTCCTGCAACTGCAGAAACACCTTGAGAGCCTTGGGCTCACCTGCATGGGGTTCATGCCCTCCCAGGGCAGTTCTCCTGTCAAAATCTCCCAAAGAATTACGCCTGTTTCCAGCACAGACGATGTCAGCATGCTGGCAGTCTGGGTCTGGGTATCAATTCCTTGGCTGCGTCCTAAAACAAGTTCCGCTGGGCAGCCTCAAACAACAACAAACAGCAAAACCAATTCACTTCGAGACAAGAACAGTTCATCCAGAGTGCGGAGCCTACCATGCAGGGCAGTGCTTGGCAACAACTCTACATTACTTCAAGCACGCTCAAGACAACGAAAAACTTACCATATGAAAAGATGTCTGCTTTTTCATCGATGTGTTCGCTCCTCAGCAATTCAGGTGCCATCCAGTGGGGTGTGCCACCGCCCGATGGCCCAGCAGTCACAAATGATCTGAACCTCATTCGACTTAAACCGAAGTCTGCAACTTTCACACGCCAGTTGCTGTCTACAAGGATGTTCGGCGACTTGATGTCCTGCAGGCACAAATGGCTTAAAACTTTCTGGCTCCAACTCACACCCCAAGCGATGGAAACACTACTGCTGTGCCGCTGTGAACCCAAGCAACTGAGTGAAAAGCAAGTCAGCTCAAGATTGATGTACACCTGTACCGAATAAATTAGCAACATTTCAATCTTGGGCCACAGAAAATGGGGTTTGAGTGCAACCCAAGGCAAGTTGGTGCATAGGCCGTTGAACAGTTGGTACATCCCTCTCAAGTAACACGAAGAATTAAGGTCCATCCCTGCCCCTTGCATGCAGCAGCCTGAACCATACCAAGTGCAGGATTGGAGGGGACAGCCCATGCAAGTACGCCATCCCCCTTGCGACAGAAATGGACACCAGCTTTTGGAGCTTCGGGCAGAGCGGTGTAGCCTGGCGGCGCAGAATGGAGTACAAGCAGCCCCTCTGCATGAATTCTGAGATTATGCACAGGTGTGGGGTCGTGCAGTAGCCGATGAACAAAATCAAGTTCGGGTGCCGGATTCGCGCGAGCAGGGTAACTTCCTTCTTGAATTGCCCAATCGTTGTTGCATCGCTTTCCAGTAACCGTTTGATGGCCACCACAGTACCCTGATCACATTTAAACACTGCTTAAAACCATGTCTCAATCCTGTGGTTACATGGCCAGGTGCAAGCGCCACATCGTCTGGGACCTGCTTGCACTTAAGCACAGCAAGTATTCGAGTGAAGGGAACGCCTTGTTCTTTTGTTCTTGACAACTTTGATTCAAAGTAATATTGTATTTTCATTCCACAATTCAATGTTTAAGGCGATCTCAAAGCATGTGTAGTTTACTGGAACTTTGTTGAGAAACCATGAAAAACTGCTAGACACTGAATTCCGCATCTTGAGATCAGTCCTGTGAGTCCATGCGCTGCTTGAATAAAGGGCAAGTTGTTCGTGCTGAAATACAACTTAAGTCGCACAATTTCCATCCAGGGTGCTGTCTTAAAAGACTTGCACAAGACTGTCCAACTCCGCACATTTGGGATCTAATTTGGGGTCTGTATGAGTGGAACATGAAGCACTTGAATGCCTTACTGCAAACCAGCACGACGTACTTAACGATCTTGTGAATGAACAAGTCACATGGCCATGGCCACTGATTGGAGTGGTGTAGAGTATGCACAAGCCCTTGGTCCTCGTGCTCAACGACACGTAGGTCAACAACAAACTGCCTTTGGGAAAAAGCATAGCAGTAACACTGAAACACTTGCAAGGCATCCTTTGTTCTGCAGCTTTGGGGTTTCACTCCAGAAATCAGCTCCTCAGGCAGCAGTCAATGAGCAAGCACCGCCGTACGCTTCACATAAACAGGAATGTCCAAAACTCCATCAGCTGATCTTGCAATCAGAATTTGTTGCTCACCTCATATTTCCCAACAAACACCTCTGCAAAGCCTCCCACGGCGATGCGTGGGCCAAACTCAATTTTCTTGGGGTCAATTTCCCACGGGTGCAGAAATGTTCGATGCACAATGGACTGCTCAGGCCCACTCTTTCCAGCCTCTGGTACACTTTCGAGGCCATGCGCTCTCGGCACCTCCAGCATGAGCGACCCCGCAGAGCTTAACTGCCTGTCCACAGAGTTGGCAAACTCAGTCGCGGCATCCTCACTTGCCCATGCTGCCACGTGGACGCGTTGCGACCGCGTCAAAACCATACCAGCAGCCCCTTTTCGAGCCTCCACGAATCGAATCCATCTCTTGCTCAGCACTTGGGGAATGCATTCGTGTCCAATAAGACCGGGGAAAACTAAAATAAAGAAAGACATCCCCACATTTTCACTTTCATGCTGCCACTGACCTAAGCTCTTCCATCCAGCAACAAGGCTAAATGTCCTCAAAGTTCGGCCAGAATATTCCTCTTGGGGAAACAACTGGTCCCACATACACCACAAGCTGGGCGAGCACCATCAAACGGCAAGGAAGGTACACCTTGCCATTGCACTTCAGAAGAGTCCTTTAATTTCAGCCAGTGGAACACACAAATCTAAGGGCAAAGCACCACCTCAGAGTACTGGTACACCACCAAGGATGTAGTGGCTCCCCAGTGTTGCATCGAAACCCATCGGAGCTGATGAATCCATCCAGATCTGTTAAAAAGAACAAAGGCAAAGGGAAGGGGAGGCTGGACGGTCATTGGACTGGACTTGTCGCATTCTCATAACAGTGATGTTTGAAAACAAAACAGTGGCTGTTAGCAAAGAGCGATGCCTTGCTGTTCCACGTGCTCAGTGCAGGATGGCAACTTACGTCTGCCCACCCACCTTGTGATCATTCCATTGTGCATGTCATCCACAGTGACACCATGATCAAGGAAGACTGGTCGTCCCTCGATGTGGGCAAAACTTCCCACCTGACCGCCCTCTGCCATAATCTGATGCTTTTCTTCTTGGAAATCGCCAAGTGGGAGGGGAAAGCCCCGGGGGTCATCTGCCTTGGGGAAGTGAGCTTGGAAGGCACGCACAACTTTCACATCAACGCTGCCATTGTCTACCTGAGGCAACAGGCAAAATAAGCCTCCTCAATGTCTGAACCCATGGCCCTCAATGAGGCGGTTTGTCAACAGAATCACAACACCGATGTCAGGTGGCATGCCACAAATGTTGAGCAACATGGGTTGCACTGTTTCTTAACAACAGGAAGACGGAGAAGCAGGCATCGCTTCTCCCCAACTGACCTTGGATACTTCCAGATATGGGCCCCTGACATTGGATACTTTGTCCGGTTGTACAGGCAGCATGCGTAAGATGTCACCGACGACGTTTTTGTCGACACCATACTGATCCTGACAGATGCACACAAACACACGCACATATCATCAGCCAATTTGTTAGACTCACAGTACTCTCTCGGCAAAGAGTTGCTGCGTGTTGGGTTCAAACGTTTTAGGATTTTATTCTTGATGTTTGGAAAGGGTGTATCTTCTGACAGATATATATACACACCAGAAACGCATCGTGAAGGAAACATGTGTGCGCTACACGTGAGGGACCCACTCCCTGTAAGGCACCGTTGATGAACAAGCCGCTGTGAACATAATCACAACAAATGGGCCAGCAAACCGAAGCTCAGACTGTTTCAGAATTTTTCTCATTTTACCACTGACTCGCCTCCCAGATGTTTGTGCAACAGCCGAGAATGGGCCTCTGGAGGTGTTAGACCCTCTGCACTGGTCATGCACCATGCAAGGGAGGCATGCATGGGATACCAAAGCAACCAGGAGACGTCGACGATGAAACTGGCAATGGATTGGGAATTCAGTTACCAGCATAATGCAGAACGAGCCGCTTGCTCTCCCCCGGTTTTGATCACCATGGCGAGCAATCAGTTGGTTGTCCGCCGACGGTTCCATCGGCTCACCCTTCTCCTCCTTTGCCTCGTGTGAGTCGCCCTGCGCGACACAACCCTCACAGGTCAACGTGCAGCACAAGAACAGCGAAAGCTACTAAGCGTCGCGCCTTGACAGCAGCTTTATTCCAGCAGAAAACGCGGTGTCCACGGTGCGCCTCGTTGGACTCAGCGTGGCGATGAATTTGTGTCAATGCTCAGGCACTGGGAGGCTGGAGCCTTGGGAGGGCACCAGATTGGACCCCATTTGGCGGTGTGCGCCGGACAGATGCCACGGCAGAGGTCCCGCAACCCTATTCAAGGGAACGGTGGGGTCAGCCGGCTCGCTGCTGGACAGTGCCGCGGCGTTGGGCTCGCAGTGCGCTGCGCGAGCTGGGGGGATGCCGCCCACCGTGAAGGCAGGCGAGGTGCAAGAAAACTGACGCAGCGGGAGCCTCGAACTGCGCCCGGTTGAATCGCTAGACGGCCAGCGCCATTGCTGTTTCGTCGCGTGGCGACGGCGAGCGAATGGCGCCGAAACTTTTGCGTGCAGAGGACGTCAACGGATTGCATCCGTGATGCATGTCCGAGGATCACGGGCACGGACGGGACTTGCGCACCCAGAACCTCGGCGCGCTCACCATTGTAGAGGAGTGCAGCCTCCGGATCAGGCGAAGGGCCCTGCGTCCGGGAGCATACTGGTGACACAGCTCGGACGAAGGCTCGCCGCACCGCTGGCCCAGGCGCCAATTTCAGCCTGCCTGTGACGTGTGTGCGCTGCGCCTTATGATTAGCACGTCTCTGCTGGGTGATTACTCATGATTAAGGCCAGTTGGCGCCCTCTTTCCTCATCATACATTCTTGCATGAGGAGGCAGGCAAGGAGGCGGCCGCCAGCTTCCTATCATGCCCACTTTCAATTTGCGCCCTCTTTCAAACACAGGGGCCGCTGCGCACACAGCGGGATCCCGCATGGGGGGCAGTCGGGCGCGTCAGTGCCTTATGAAGATTAGTGGAAACTGGAATATAATAAGAAGCTTGACTCTCTTGCCGAGCAATTCACACTACGCGACCCCAGTTGCAGGACGAGGGAAATTAGCCCAAGGTGAACTCAGCAAAGGAACCTCACTAATTCGATGGTGGTTGGCCCGTCATTGCCGAGCCAGTTCCTCAGGCTGTTTGATGTGTTGCCGATGTGTGGGAGAAAATCTGCGTCGTGATCCCTGATGGCTGCATCAGCGTGAAAGGAAATTGTGAGGCACACGTCAATGGCCATGGAATGGTTGGTTGTCTCTCGAGGTGGCACCGGTCTGTTTTTAGACATTGAACTGCCTGGAGAGACTCAGCAAATATAGTGTGCTGGACTTTTTCTGGCTTTTCGTTGTCGGAAAGTTGCAATTAATGCTCAGCGACACTTCAACAAACTCTTCACACCAGGCCGGACGGGTTGGGAAGCAGGGTCCGGCTGCAAGCAAGATTTTTTGATTGCGACACATGGCCACTTGCCTTGTCGACAAGAGCATCGATTTTCCGTCAATCAATTTTGGTCGGCTTATCGTCAGATTGACTCCCAGGGTAAGGGCCATGATGCCAGTAAATTGTGCTATTGCCGCAAAATTGACATAGGCTGAGAAAGAGGCCCAAATCGCCGCTGATCAGAGGCAGTCAAGTCATCAGTTGTTCTAGAACCTTCCTGAATGGTTCAATATTCAAGGATGCTGCCAGAACTTGGATCCCAATGTCTCAATTTAACTGCCTCTAGTGCTGCTCCCATTGCCTCCCATCGCTTTATGCGTCCCACTTTTAATCCATCTATGATCACTGCAATTCTGTCTGTACAGTCGGGGTTGCAGTCACTATAGATGGTTCAACAATGCAAAAATGATCGCCTTGCGTGAAGATGTTTTGATGTTGCGCTGGCCATTGACACTATCAGCCGTAAACCATACATTCGAAACTTTGAAACTTTATTTTCAGATTTATCTCCCACAAAACTCCCATTTCCCATTTGCAGCCCAACACACGGGCAATGGGGCGCAGCTTTGAGGGAGTTTCACCCTCTGAAAGAGATCGACTAGTGCGGTCCCGTGAGCTGGATAAAACCCTTTTCCCTAGGCGCGGTCAGGGATGGAGGTTTCGGTCAGCGGTCAACATTGACAGGGTACGCTTGAGCCCACCAGCTTTCATGTAAATTTATTTAATTTTATTTATCAAGAAAATTTCATGGTCATCATGATATTCATCATCACCATCAAATATTTCCGGATAGTAAGGCAAAGATGCAGTATTCAGCTTCCTGCTTTGCACGTACAAGTTTCAAGGGCCCAAAGCTCATGAGCAGATGAACATTTGATTGGCATTTCATTCCGCACCCGCATTGGCACACGTTAAATATTGTGCACGCGTTTGTGCACGAATGCGATCCGCAGCAAGCTGCTATGGTTGCGACTGCAAGAATAAAGCTAGTAGAGCATGTAAAGCCAGTAAAATTTGTAAAGCCACTAAATCTTGTGAAAGCAGTGAAGCTTGTAAAGCTTGTGAAACTAACAGTTCTTGGAGTATCGCCTTGTTGTCTGGAAACACACGAATATCTGCCGTGCGCTTAATTTGCGCAACTGTATGTTCAAACAACATACCACCCATGAACGCACAAATATACACAAGCATCTGCGCCTCATCATCCGTGATCAGAAGGAAATTTCGCACTCGCTCATTGAAAAAGGGGGAAATGTACATTAATCACGTGGTGAGGTTGGGCCCCCTGTTCCCTAAAAGAGGTCAAGCGGTACCCAATGCGTGCTGTCCACGATGGACAAGAGTTCATGTAGGACTACCGCAGGGACTGTTCATAGTTCACTTTGTGGCGGCTTTCATAGCACGTGAATGCGCCCGGCGATCGCATGTGCATGTGACAATGAATTTGTTCTTTTGAGGACGGCTTAGGCCTCAAGAGACGAAGGGGGTGATGGGTTGGATGCAACGTCCAGTGCGCATGATGGAAGTACCGAATTACCCCGGTTAGACATCAAGTCCTCTTTCTCCCAACGGAACCAGCAATGGGTAAGGCACATCATATGATTGGCGCAATTATTCTCTATTATGCAGTGAATATCAAAACGCTGTCTTATCAGAAGTCCGCACGACCCTTTCAGAAAATTCGGAATGCTTTTATGGTGAATTTTCGCAGGATGATCCGTCCAGCGAAAATCACTCCAATTGGGTAAATTGCTTCGCTCCAACTTGCAAAAAGTGTTCGCACAGAAACTTCGGTGATTTTGCACGGCCTGCCAGCCCTCACAGAAAATATCTTAAGTAAGATATTCATGAATACATGAATTTAAACTGAGACACACAAACGCACACTCATCAGCGCGCTACTGCGATTGGATGGAATGAAGAGCGCCTGCGTGATCCCAGCCAAGGCCCTTACGATCACCCAACAGGCGCCTGATTATATCCCGTTTGGAGTAAACTTTACCCAGTAAAAGGAAATCTGAATCTTGGGTATTCCCCAGATCGGCAGCGTGGATGCGGACGCCAGGTGCCCATTTTCGGTGTTGGACTTGTCCCTCAGACCAGATGAAGCATTCCTTGGATGCAGTCGGCGGGCGGGATCAGAAAGGCGAACAAAGAAAGGTACCAGCTGCTGAACAACACAAAACCCAATTCGGGGGGAAGCGGCAAGGGATGTGTGCAAATATTGAGCAGATGTGAAATTTGAATGGGATCAGTGCCCTCTCGCACATGTGTAGCTAAACAGGCGTCATGCATACACCTATGCGAAATCAGCACTCGTATCCAAGGACTGCAGCTGCCAGGAATTCAGCGAATGATCCTGTGACATCATTATTGACTGTGACCCTGCCTGTCCTATTTTCTGTGGGTGCAAGGGTACAAGAAGCCCGGCAGGTCGCACAAGTTCAACAATTCGATCTCAATATGTGGTGCACTGGACAATCCCTTCCAAGCAACGGTGGGGACGGATCCGGCTCATCGCCTTATGACGCCAGAAATCAACTGGTAAAGTACGAGGCTTTTCTGCATCAAAATTGCGCACCCATTGCGGCACGCCCACTTGGGGCGGGGCTTTGCAGCACTGATCGCATTCTGTGTTTCTCCCCATCCTTAGTGCAATATGGGTGCCTGGGGTGCAGGGCGCAGGTATGGGCCCACACACCAAGAAAGCGGTTACATGCACATGCAACATGCAGACGAGACGCGACTGTACGTACATGTGCTCCGGGACGATCGGACGGAATCTGCCGTCCATACATGCGACCAAAACGGCTTGCGTGGAGCACCTATGTGGCAGCCCATCAAAGATCTTCAGATACTCATACTCATAATGTTTTCCTAAAAACTGTCCACAGCTATCATTGAAAATTTATGCCTTTCCACTGCGGCCATCCTGATGGTACGATCAAAGCAACGACTGTGCCTTTCGCGCATCATTGCTCCAATATTATCTTTAACACATATCTTTCCAATATCTGTCTGAGCGCCTCTTTCTCACGCAAGAAGTGTAAAGGTACCTGTTGATCCTTCTAAATTACAACAGGAATCGGTGTACCATCCTATCGAGCTGCGCTGCACATTTGAAACCATCTGGGGGCTGACTTGAATTTGGAATATCACCTGTGCAACAAGCCTGCATAAAAATCAAATTGTTCATTTTTGTGTTATTCTCCGTGCAAAAGCGATTTTGGACGCTTCTATATTGGAATGTTTTGGTGCAGTTGCCAGTCGTTACTCCTGGAAATCTGAATCCTCGTCTCCTTGCCAATCAGAACTGTGTACCAAGCCAGCAATACCAAATTTGCCGCGCTCCGCTGGAAGCCAATATGATATTGGAAATTACTTCGCTTGGCCAATGTATATCTGTGCAATACTCAGCTTGAGAAAGGGCTATTACTGTGGTCGCGTGGCTTGGAGGCTCCAGTGCTCCTGGAAGTAAAGGATTTCAACACAAGCATGTGCACATACCTGCGTAAGGCACACGGTTGGATGTGCAAGCCCTGTGCTGAAA